GTTCGTACGATTCAAGATTTTGCTATAAGACGGTAAAGGGAAAGCAACGAGCTATCGAACGATGTGCAACACAAGGCAGGTTTGTATTTAAAAAAAAATAAGTTAGGGTAGCTACCCCCTAAGGGGTGAGGCTCGAAAAGTGCCTCATTTTGGTTCCCCCTCCAATCCGCCAACACGTATTTGAGATCTTCCTGATAGTATTTTTTGTCTAAGAGATATTGCCGATTGCTACTTTTCAAATTGTCACCCTGTATATCTAAGTATCTCCGAATTAGTGATTTTTTAGATAGAAAGAATGTTTTAAGTTTTTTTATATAAATATTTATTTATGATGATTATTTAGACTGAAGTGCCTTTTTTTACGCAGAAAAAATGTATCCAATTGATTTTGACCCCCCCTACATATTTTTCTGCGGGCGCCCCTGACTTTACGTACAACATTGTGTCCTTTTTTTTTCAAAATCGGTACGGTTCTAGGGCACTTATGGCCATTTCCACCAACTATTTTAGGGGCGCCCTAACGATAGGTATGCCCTAAACTGACATTTCTCCATGTAAAAATGTCATTTTAGGGAATATTTATCGTTAGGGCTCCCCTAAAATAGTTGGTGGAAACGGCCATTATTCCCTTATAAGTTGAAAATATGAAAAAAACATCAATTCCAAAGAACTTTAAAGAAATTCAAGCTCCAAGAAGAGCATAAGTAATTTCTCCAACAGAAGACGAAATTACACTAAAATCGATATAGGTAGCAGAGTTTAATCGCTAACATCTGAGAAAACGTTTTAACTTAAGACGAAAAAAATGCTTCCAACAACAAAAGTATGTATGGTTTAGGAAATGTTAAAAAATTATCCGGCAACATCGCATAAGAGCCACTCACACTGCTGGCAGGGTCCACACAGCGCGATGTTTTCTTGTATCGCCTTATCGGAAACATGCCTTATCAATCTCATACACATTAGACATGCGTTTGTTCTTTTGTAAACAACAAATCGTGCACGGACGTCCTTCTATACTTTGTATATACAATGCCTTCCTTCTATCGTTAATTTTAACTACCTATATTTTAAAATACATAGGGATTTTTTGTTTTTTTTTTTTTGACTACGCACCTGATTTTTATTTTTTTCTGGTACATACAACTAATGATTCAATTTCAAGATTTGCTGAGCAAAGTTAATACAAGCCTCTTTAGCTCAGTGGCAGAGCACTGGTCTTGTAAACCAGGGGTCGTGAGTTCAATCCTCACAGGAGGCAAAAGGTTGCTTTTAAAACATTTTTTTGCAAATTTGATTATACTATATTCTAATTAATACACAGACTTTTATCTTGATTTAAGTCAATCAAAATTATTCAAAAAAAATGCAATCTTTAACAATTATTTTGTTCTTTAGCAGCAACATTTAGCTCCATCTATCATAAATTATAATAATACAAGTTGGGTGAGGATCGATACAGGTTTCATTTCAGTCATCTACCGGTATGAGCAGCCAAGCTTACATCGACTAAAATCGTAAGTAGAGGTTTACTTTTGTATAGTTTGTTTGAATTTCGGTGACTTAATCATAGGTGGCGTTAGGAGTTGAAATATGCAATAACATTTTTTATCAACAATTAATTTTTTGAAGACATACAATGTCAGGTTCTCATTTTCACAAGCCCCTTATTAGTTTTCGAGAGCTTTAGACATATTCTACTCTAAGACAATGAATACAATTTTTGATATGAACTCAGAAATCACGTATTTCTGAACCAACAAGTTTATCGGAGATTGCTGCAAAACGCTAGTTCTATAATTATTAATTTGGGAAGTATTTCTCAAGGTGTGTTGACTAATCATAAAGTGCTTCCTAATTCCTTGTTTACCCAAACACAAAAGAAATTAAAATCAATTCGTTTTTATGTAGATGACTAACAACCTCAATTGCGAAATGAGTCTTAAACCGCAAATTATTTGTCATTGATGGAGATTTAATTGTTTTCATGTATTAAAACTTGAAGTAAAATTTCAATAAAATCAATAATATGGATTTGCTATAATATGTATCTATTTATAATACACCTTTTTGTGTTATATACCTACGTAATTATATTATTTATATCCAGTCATAAACTACATACAGGCAAAGTCCCTGACACAAATTTTAAAGGAAATTAAATTGATGAGATAATTTTTGTTTGCGTTGCTTTTATTTTTAAACATTCGGTTTGGGGAAAAAAACTATCAATTTATAGATTTAAAAATCATATTTATACATGACAATAATCAATAATTATTGTATAGTCTATAAATAATCTATCAAACGAGCACATAATCTAGATTATATATAATTTTCTAATATTTAAGTAAATCCAGAAATAGTTTAATTAAATCGTCAATACAAACAGGTAATTTTGAATGTGAAGTTGATATCAATTTTGCCATCTTCTTGAAGCTGTTGTTTTGAAATTGTTGAATCAAGAGGCCGGATGACATCGTACCTGACAGTATTAGAGGTACTACTTTATATCTAATGCTGCCGGGTAGGATGTCAACAGTACTTCCATTAAAAATCCTTGGTGTAACATCAATGTCTAACTAATAATAGCATGAAAATTGATTGGTTTTACGTCACAGGGTGGAATAAATTTTGTTTTGAAAAACTTCATATTCCAAAAAGGAGTTGTATGGTTCATCTGAAACACGATTATTCACTGTCACTTGTAGATCAAATTTCCTTCCAGCCACTGTTAAAATATCTCTCATTAGGAAATCCAGCATAACTTGCCACATGTTTCTTCAATAATAATAATTTATCGATCCAGAAACTAAAAATGTTCCAAAAATAATGGCACAATCCGATTTTTTTTCGCTTGGCGTAGACATTTTGACTTAATTAATTATGTAGCTTCCTAATCAACTGCACCAATAATTAGTATTTATCTGAGACGAAATAAATACACAATTTAATGGTAAGCATTTATTGTAAAACTGAACTTGATTACAATTATTCAAACCTTGGTAGCACCTGAAATTGGGTTTATACATATGAAAACTTGCCTGGCAAGGTCGAATATTAGATACATAAAAACATAGTATTGAAGTAAATATTTATGGGACACTCCCATATTGATAATGAAGTTCAGCCTTAAAGACTCAGAGAAACTATTAAATTATCTTCAAAATGAATTATAATATGGTACTTATATTGTATGAATAAGTTCTTCCATGAATGTAGAATTTCCAGGAACATTCCAGGACAGTTTAAAATACCTTTCAACTTTCAGCAATATTTCAAAGAGCTTGAGACTCTTCAAAGTTTTATTCCAAGTTAACATTTTGAAGAGTTTTTTAAAAAGTTCTAGATAACTGTAGAGTAGATAATTTAGAATTTTCAGGTACCTTCTTGAATGTTCCATAACACTTTAGAACAAATGCAGAATGTTTAGGAACATTCCAAAACAGTTCAGAATACCTCTCAACTTTCAGCAACATTTCAAAAAGCTTGAAATTCTTCATAGTTTATCATTTTGGGGTGAAGTTATCCATTTCAAAACTTAAAAAAATCATAAGTTTTTTCTATTAGAGATAGAAAGATGAAATTTTCAGCGATACTATCCTATTAGGAGACAACAATCCCTGAAAATTCCAGTTCATTTATATTTTCAGAAATAAAATCGCGTTAAGCAATTTGAGGTAAATTTATCAATTTTTCAATTTTTCTGAGTGCCTTTTTTCATAGAATCGGGCTTCAAATCTCAGAATAATTTAGTTAGTGTATGGAGTTTGGGGGGTGCCGGAGGATCATTAGGACACAAAATCTCAACAAAAAAAATTTGGAAATTTCATCGTTTTAATACTGAGGAGCTACCTTATTGATTTGGATTTTTGAGAACTTTGAAAGATGATATCTTTTTTTCTATTAGAGATAGAAAATTGAAATTTTCAGAGATTGCTATTCTACTAGGACTACAATTCCTGAAAATTTCAGCCTATTTGTACTTATAGTTCCAGGAATAAAATTGCGTTAAGCAATTTGAGGTAAATTCATCAATTTTTCAATTTTCTGAGTGCCTTTTTTCATAGAATCCAGCTGCAAATCTCAGAATAATTTAGTGTATGGAATTTGAGGGGTCCCGAATTATCATTTAGACAAAAAATCTCAACATAAAAAAAATTGGAATTTCATCATTTTAGTACATACTAAGGTACCTGATTTTTGAAAATTTAAAAAAAAAAATCATAACTTTTTTACTATTCGAAATAAAAATCTGAAATTTTCAGCGATTCTTATCACAGTAGAGGACTACAATCCATGAAAATGTCAGCTCATTTGGACTTATAGTTCCAGAAATAAAACCGTGTTAAGCAATTTGGGGTGAATTTATCAATTTTCCAATTTTCTGAGTGCCTTTTTTCATAGAATCCGGCTCCAAATGTCAGAATAATTTTGTGTATGAAGTTTGGGGGATCCTAAAGGATCATTAGGACACAAAATCTGAACAAAAAAAAAATTGAGATTTCATCGTTTTAGTACCGAGGTAGCCTCTTATGATTTAGATTTTGGAAGATCATAACTTTTTTTCTATTATAGATAGAAAACTGAAATTTTTAGCGATTCTTATCTCAGTAGAGGATTACAATCCCTGAAAATTTCAGCTCATTTGGACGTTTCTTGTCTTTAAAAACCACTTTTTTTTCGCTATAGCTCTCCTCTATTTTCAATTATCAACCTGCTACTACAAACTATATAACAAAATCTCTTCAATTACCGTCCGCGCCTTCGTCCTCACACAAACCAAACAACGAACCGTCCTCAACCCGCCGCCTCGCTCGAACTTTTCACACACCTTCACAGGCTCGGCATGACGTCACGACGCCGACGCCGGCCACGCTACGACGACGTCACAATCACGGTCCGTGGCCCCTGCGATCAGCCGGCGTGCACGTGAACATCATGCACACAGTCACGCAAAGGCCGCGTGATCGCTAGCGCGCTATTGGACAACGTCGACGAGCCTCCGTTTCTTATTGGCTGGTTCGGATCGAACATGCCTAGCCTGGAGAGCACAACAACACCGAGCTTCAAAATAAAGAACTCATTTCTGTGCGGGAGCTTTTTAGAGAAAGAATTCATGAGATTTTTTTAATTTTGGGGAAGTTTTTAGTTGTTTTTTTTTGTGTGAAGAGACTTTTGTATTATAATGGAAGTTAAGCAAGTTGCTAGTTTGCTTGTGCTTTCGCCTCCTTCTACACCACCCTTGAAAAATGTAAGTTTCAAAATTATTTGTCTCTTTAATAATTTACATTTACACCCCTATGTTTGTTAAGAAAAATTTCAATTTTTCCTTCTTTCAAATTTTATACCATACATAGTATTGATCCAAAGTTTACTTAGACTGTTTCAAAACAAAAGAGAAAGTTTTCGGGTGAAAACTTCATTATTAAATTCTAATTATCTTGTTGTCAATAAAAGACAAACATTTTTAGTCGCTTCATTGATTTTTATTTTGGCCCACCAAATCTAGTTTTCAACCATATAACAGTTATTACATGGGTTTGGCCCACTTGCCCCCCAAATAGCCGCTAACGCAACATTTTTATGAAATCACGCACGGACCGAATGATTCGCGGGAAACACGCACCTATTTAAATTCATTGTGTTTGGTTGTAATTGTGGATGCATCATAATATGCTTATTATCATCGCGGTATTTATTAAAGAGAAATTTGTCTGTTCCTTGTGAGTTTTTGAAAGATTCTTGTCTAATTTCTTCCTACAAGCTTGAAATCAAGAATTTCCTATATTGGAAAACTTCACAATTTGTATCTTAATCTTACCTACTCTGGGAGATTCAAAACAAAATTTCTCTAAAACTGCTCAATTTCTTCCTATCAGATTTAAATCTAGACTTTCTTTTCACAATTTGAGCAAGAATCTTACCTACTCTGACATATTAAAACAAAAGATCAGAAAAAAACATCTTTTTGAACATACAATCCAACTTGGATCTCATATCAATTGTGAAAAGTGCATTTGGCACTTGAAAATCTGCTCAGAATCAAATGTTTTCTTCTGATTCTGAGCAAGAAGTGTTTTTGTTCTATCCTCATCAGTTCTATCTATCCAAGGTAAAATTAAAATCAGATTTTTTTAAAATTCACTTGTTTTTATTGGTGTTTCCTTCCGAAACTGCTTGATACATTTTTTGAATTAGAAAATCAGCAACTTTCTGAGTAGGTATTGAAGAATTTGATTTGATATTTTAAACCTCTGATCAAAATTTTTCTGTTTTTTGGAAGTATTTTCAAGATTGCCCATTTTCTTCAGAATCTCTTATTTTGGAAATCTTCGATGTTTGAGCAATAATTGTGTCTTTAATCTACCTGTTCTGAGTTTGATCTCATATTAAACGACGTGAGAAGCTTATTTGGCACTCAAAACTTTGCTCAGAACTGTAAACTTATTATTTTTTCTAAAAAAATTTATGAAAAAGTTTCTCAAGAAGTCTGAGTTGTTGTTGCGGTCTCTGACGTCTGAATGGCTGCAAATTGTTGTCTCATTTCATCTATTTCACCCCGCATCTCATCCTGTAAGGTTATCATCTTATCTTCTAGATTTACCATCTTTTCTTCAAAATCTTGTTAATTATTGATTCTTTAGTTTTTTTGAATTGTTATCTAAACGCTCTTCTAATTGTTCTTGTAAGTTTCTAGAATTTTCTTTTTTTGCTAGAATATTATCATTCAAATGATGTTTGATGTTAATTAGAACAAAAATGATTGAGCAAATCTCAAAGTTGAATTTTGATTGGCTGGCTCTTAATCAAGTTAGTTTTAAATCTCAGAAGTATTAAAATCAATCTTATCACACCAATAATTAAAAAGTTGCATTCTGATTTTGAACTACAAAGTGGCTTTTGATTGATTTAGCTTGATATCTCAGAAATAATTTATTCGAGAAAATCTACAGTAATCAACGAACCAAGAAACAGTCAAATGCCTAGAATAAAATTTCTTTCCATAAAAGAATCATAAAACAATCAAAAGCCTGGAATAGAAAAGAAAAATGATCGAATTTCCTTAAAAATCTTGTTTCTATTTCTCTTCGCTTCAGTTTCAAGATTCAACTATTCCAGGCCCTTGAATTTCTGTTTCACAAGAGAATCAAAGAATAATCAAAAGTCTGAAATAAAATTTCTTTCCATAAAAGAATCAAGAAACAGTCAAACGCCTGGAATAGAAAAGAAAAATGATCAAATTTTCTTAAAATTCTTGTATCCCCGCTTGTATCTATTTCTGTTCCCTTCAAGTTTCAATTTTCAACTTATCCAGGCTCTTGAATTTTTGTTTCCATCCAAATTTTTTTTTATAGAAGAATCAAGGAACAATCAAAAGTCTGGAATAAAATTTCTGTCCATAAAAGAATCAAGAAACAGTCAAAAGCCTGGAATAGGAAAGAAATATGATCAAATTTCCTTAAAATTCTCACAAATCAAACCAAACTAACCCAATCAAGTGCCAAGAATAGCTAAAAATTGAATTTCAATAAAATTCAAACAAACAATTACGTGACTGAAAACGCCCTCTCATTGGCTAAAACCGATATTCATGGGCTTGTTGCCACATGGATTCTAGTTTTATATCTTAGAAATAATTCAATCAAATCAAACCAAACAAACCCAATCAAAAGCCAGGAATAGCTTCAAGTTGAATTATTGGAAAGCCAACAAATATTAGAAATTAAATGGGTCCAAAATTTCCTATTCTCCGACGCATAATTTAAACTCCTATTTTTTATAAAACACCTACCCACCTACTCTAAGGATAATCAAAACAGTATAATAAATCATGGAATTGAAAATATTGATGCTTCCATAATCTCAAGTTTGACATTTTATGTACGGAAATTAATATTTCCTCAATTTGGTTTCATATTGTCATAAAGTCCAATGAAATTCAATATTCGTATTGTTTTCTCTACACGAAGCGACTGCGTGCTATCAAGAGAACTCGCCCACTTTCAGTACAATTCCATTCACCTGTTTACAATGAAAATTTCACAAAACGCAGAAAATATAGTAATTAATATATAAATAAACACCATCCATCCTTCAAGGTAACAATCTTAATTTAAATATTGCGATTGTCTATATGTTTATATTACAACAAATTGAACTAAAAATAGATGTGTGTATTTATTATTACAATATTTATTTTGTTTCAGATCCCATCATCAGACGATGAAACGAGTCAACAATCGACCATCGACCACCTACGCCAGTTCCTGGGTCAAAAACGTCCATCGTCGACCGCCTTCCCGCCCACACCCCAACCCTCCGACTCGGAAAGCGAAGAGCACGATTTCCCGCTCAAAAAACGTCACATCCGCAATGAGCACGAGTTCGCGCGCTATTTGCAAACTTCGCCTACACCACCTCCTGAAGAACCAATTGTCACAACAAGAACCACGTCAGTTATCATGAAAGCCAACACTGACGGTTCTTGTGTATCGCTTCCAATCCCTCAACCACCTAGCGATGAAGTAAACATAGTGAAAAGTATTAAATTTAAAATGGGCAATCGCAATATTAATAATTCCAACAAAGTTATATCAATTTTGCCAAAAGTCTTAGCCCCAATCAACCAGCCACAAGCCTACTTTCTATCGCCTGATGGTACAATGGTACCAACCCAGTTGGTTTTATTCACTCCTCCAGCTTCTCAGCCTCCAAGAAGGCGCATTTATGAGTGCCAGCACGAGGGTTGCGGCAAAAACTATTTCAAGTCTTCGCATTTGAAGGCCCACAATAGAACCCATACGGGTGAGAAGCCTTTTGTCTGCCAATGGGCGGATTGCGGCAGGAGATTTTCCAGATCGGACGAGTTGTCCAGGCATAAGAGGACTCACACTGGGGAAAAGAAGTTTCAGTGTGAGGTTTGTCAAAGGAGGTTTATGAGGTCTGATCATTTGGCTAAACATGTTAAAAGGCATTCTAAGGATAGGATTTCTTCGGCTAAGATTAGTGTGGTTCCTATTTTACCGTTGCCAGTTGTTTGTTAATTTAAATTTCTATAAATAGCGCGTTATTTATGTTGGTACCTTTTGTTTTTGTTTTAAATTTATTTTTTCATTCATATTTTTCACATTCCGTCTTATTTGTATCATCTTCATTATTATGTATATAAAACTAACTTGTAAAAAATATCATTTTTTGTTTATAGAATATTATTGATCTGTGATTTTACTAAATGGTTATTATTTATTTTAAAACTTTGTAATACGTTTGTATATAAAAAAGAATAAATTAGAAAAAAAAATCAATTGGCAATGAGTTTTATTGTGTTTGGAAATTATAAGACAAAATGAAAATCCTTCAACCTACGACATTATTCCACTTGCACCCTCGAGGGTGTCCAGGATTCACCCTGGAAAATTTAGGCCAGGGAAAGGGCGAACTTTGGTGACCCAGTTTCACTTTAGGGATTTCGTCTGAAAAATAAAGCAAATATTCGAATTCCTGTGTTGGTTCAGAAATCAAGAAAAAGAGTCTATAAAAACATAAACAAAAACCAAGGATTATTTATTATTTTTATCGGCGTGTTTATTTGTGAAGTAACGTCAGATAAAACTTGTGTAATAGAAAATAATGGTTCTAGACTGATAAAACCGTGTCTCATCAGATCTAAATACGTGATTTAAGGCAGTCACCTTTGGTGAATAAACAGCTATATAAGTGATTAATAATAATAATTGATAACAAATACATTTTCTAGTTGTATTGTTCCATATAAACAGTTCAGCGAACAACAAGATAGAAATTTGTGGATTACTTTGAATAAAGAAGCTTGAAATATACTTTGATTTGATTTCTAGTTTCTGAGATTTTTAATTTTTTTTTTTTCTTTCTCAGAATAATTCAGTGTATGGTGTTTGAGAGGTCTCGAATGACCATTTATGTCGGTTTTCCACCAAACAGACAAAACAAAAACAAAACCCAAATTCAAAAACCTTGTAGATTTTAGAAAAATGATGAGATTCCATTTTCAAATCTTACAATCATACCTACATTGATAATGAAAATACATTGAATGATGAAAATAAATCCAAAGTTTCAGCAAACAAACATCTTTACTTTGACGCAAAATTTCACGCATATTTTTCGTGATATTAGAGGATTATATTGAAACATGTTACATGGCTTGTTGTCGTTTAATAACATTTTTGATTATTTAATTTTTCTTTTGATGTGACAAATAAATTTGTGCGTTTGTTTTTGAAGATTATTTGATAATTTGCTGTCAAGGCTTTTTGTAATATGCAACTTAAAATTTCATTAGCAAAGAAAGTGCAAAAGTTCAAAAGTTAATAAATCTACAATCACAAATTTCCGCGTAATTCCCTATTGTTTCCTTTATCTTTATACCCATGCAACGAATAATTGAAATTTTAAATAACTTTGCGATCTTTGCACCTTTTAAAATTTTGAACGCAAATTATTTAATGATGAAATTGCTTCAAATGTTACTGAAGAAACATTTACAAAGGCGCGGCAGTTCTTTACACGTTTTGCACCATTTCTGGAATAATATTACCATGAAGCTAAAAATTCGGAGAAATATATGCATATTTTACTAATACATTATACAGAGTGTACAAGACTAAATTCTGCTAAGACAATCTATATCTATATGCAAAAGGACTTGAATTTTTTAAAACACCCCTCCCTGTAACATAATAATTGTAATACATAATTATTATTTTGTTTAATGAAAATACCGATCAGGAATTATTATTAATCAAAAGCAAAATAATGAATGATGTAAGACACCACCTAGTTAAGTAAGGTAAGTTTCACGCGAGACGCAGGTGATCTATTTATTTTTGCTTTTTGCTCTCAAAATAAAATTATTCAATATTATGCTGTCAAAATCTAGGATATAGTTGTTTGAAATAGGTACAAGCATTTTTTACAGTCAGCAGTTCAGTAACCCATTTTAATTATTACATAATTTTTTGGGCAGATAATAATTATTTACAAAACAAAAATAATTGCAAATGTTACAATAATATACATAAACAAATTCAAAGGTAAACGACTTTTTAAAGACAAAGGCCCTTTTTTGGATTGAACAATTTTTTAATAATTATTGAAGAAAAGTAGGTCAATGACGGGCACAGCGTGTGTTTTGGTTTTTAATGACGTTGGCCTTTCCGCTGATCAAATTCAATTCCGTAAACACAAAAAAAAAATGTATATTTTGGTTCAAGGAAGGATACAGTAAAAGAGAGAATCCCATGCATTATTATTGTATTCCAAGGACGATTTTGGAATCAAAGTTTCTTTTGGGAAATTGCCTAGGGAATTTCTACTTCCACCGTGAAGAAGTGCAGAAAGTAAGGGAAGGAAAGTACATAAATTTGATTAACTGTCCATGAAATTCGAGAAAATCGTTTGTGAATAAGAAGATTAAAGAAATTCCCCAGTAAACACATGTGTGACATTTACGTGAAGTTTATATAGATCAGCCAGCTTATTCTGTAATTTGCGATCGCAGAGAATTGCGAAATTGTCAAACGCGAGTTTTCCATTCTAAAAAGGCACTAAGATCTCAAAAAGAAGAGCTTTTCCATTAAATTCGACCATATCTTTCGATTGGTAAAGTCAAAAATTGAAAAATCTCAAAAAAACAAAATTGAAATTTTTCGAAGGAGTATGCAAGCAAATCTCATTTCCAAATATTTCAAAAGTCCATATTTTTCAATCGAGAAAAGCTACCGGCACGAAATTTGGTGTAAATGTTAATCTTGATTGGGGCTTCAATAGTAGATTATACCACGAGTCAATAATGATAGCTATTATTCCCGAGGATTATTACGAACTGAGCCGCGTTAGCGGCGAGGGAGTAACATTCCGAGGGAATAATAGCCATTATTGCTAGTAGTATACTCTACTTTATTTACGACAAATTAATTTATTTGAGATTTTCAATAAACAAATTTCATCCGTCTCATAATTTTCAATACAAATCCACAAGCACTACACGTTTGACACTGACACTTTTGTGGAATAATGACCATTAATCCCGCTACTCGTCATTAATCCCTGGAGGAATAACATATGTCATTATACTGCCAAAATCACAAATATAATACGCACATTATACATTAGTCGTAAATAAAAAAGGTTATTTGGGGCACCGAGCCCTAGAGCTTTGCTATCAAGATAATCAGCTTTAAAAGTTTCCCAAAATTTTAGACAAAGTTTCAACTTTGAGCCTCAATATCTCGAACACTATTAGAGATAAGTTATTCAATTTTATCTCATCTTAAATATAATTTAATTCTGATTAAGAATGTATAAATATGAATCAGAATTTGTGAAGTATCAGTTGAGTTATAGGCGATTTTGTAAGGCAATGTCGGATGATTGAAATGTTTCAAAGCAAAGAATGCAAAAATCATTTTTAATTTTTTACAGATCCTAAAACCTCAAAAAAAAAATCACGCGAATGCTTTTCCACTAAATTTGAACCCCTCTTTCGACTGGTAGAGTCAAAAATCCAAAAATTTAGAAAAATCAAAATTGAAATTTTTCTAAGGAGGATATTACATTTTCAAATATTTCAAAGGGCCATATTTTGGGCAAAATCTTTCCCTGAATATGCCAGGATTGTGATGATCTTGAAATATTCCAAGCTTTCTATCCTTTCGAATATTCCTGGAAAATCTTTTTGTTATACCTATTTATTGGGGAAAATTTTAATTAAATTTAAACATTCCTCTGGATTGAAATTCTATTGTACATGTACTACAAGTTTTTCTTGATAAATCTTATTACTTTTGATAAGTTAATAGTGAGCTCAAATTTTTATCGTTTCCTGCATGGAGCTACGCGACTAAAACTGTTTTTTTTTTTAAATTAAAAACACAATAGGCACTAAAGTTTAATATTTTCTGCCCACACAAGTCAAAATGCGTCGATAATTCAATAACAATCGCAGAAATAGGGCTCCAACATAAATGTTAATGTTTAAAGAAAATTAGGAAAATAATTTCCTTTGAACTTTCAGAACTTTTTTTTCAATAAAGCGAAAGAAACTGGAACCAGATTATTTGGGGCTACAACAAAGTTAAAATACAAAATTATTTGTAAATTTTGACTCCAACTGATGCTATGACCAACCATTATTTTTCATCAAAATTATACGGAAAGCAAGTTCTCACGTTTAAAATTCGTGCTCCAGTAGTTTGTTTGGTAGCCAAAAGCGAAAAATGCCATAGCCATTTAAAATCCATTGTCCTTGACGTAAAGTTTGTGGGAGTGGATTTGCCGGGTCCAAGTTCACTCCGAGCGAGCCCCAGCCATGCAGGCAAAGCATGCTTTGTGGGATTCGATGACACACAACTTTTATAGGATCCCGGAAGGTTTGACGTCACAATCATGAAACAACAGCGTGCCAATAATTTGCTTATTGCGTTTGTGTGCTGCTATTAATATAATGCATAGAGAAAAAATTGGAGGTTTTATTTTAGGCGTTATTTATATGAGTGCTAAAATTAGTTCTGGATTCTGGCCTGGTTGTAACTTGTTATAATTGCATTTATTAGAATATTATTATTTGCATTCCCACAACGATCTGGCACAGAGGCCGTACAAATTGATGCAAGTGTTATAAACAAAATAATTCCCAACCAGCCAGTAAATTCAATTAATTGTCCACTTATCGGCATTAATTGGCAAAACTGCAAAGCTATTTTGATCTGGAAAAGTTTTACAAAAATATTTGTGAACGACTTATTGAATTAATACTATTTAAGGTAGAAAAGTCCCATCATTTTTGTAAACAAATAAATCAAAGATTGGACATTAGCAATGCATAAAAAATTGCTAACAAACCATTGTGTTGTTAATTAAAAAAAAAAATCAATATATCAAAAAGCAATTAAAATATAATTCTCATATAACATTATATACAGATTAAGCTTAAAATAAAATATATTCACAAATCACAACACAAAAACCATTAATTAAAGGCACTACGATATTAGATCAAACAGGATATTGAAGCTGTACAAATTATCTGATTGCTTTTATATTAACTTGTAAGGCAGCAAAAATCAATCTTGATAAAATACCTATCCCAAATCACTTCTGGAATGCTTTTGCAGTTTTCTAATAAATCAGAAAAGTTATTGATCAATTATCAGCCATTTTTCTTGAATTTGTTCCACTTGCTGCGTCGCTATGGGATTCCTGATTCGCAAACGCACCTCCAGCTTTCCACCAGTTTTTCTTCTACCATCCATCAGCTAATAATATTGAATCACACAATATAGATTTTTATGTTGGTAAACCGTCGAAATAACTTACATCAAAACTATCGTGAATTTCACATTGAGTCTCGAGCGGTTGCAGTTTTAAGTTGACAGTACCGACAAGCGAATCGCTCCGGAAAAATCCGCTAAAACAGGAAAAAATGTCGCTAGCGCAACCACAGTCGCACCTAGCCAACCGATTATGGCGCACTTGATAAGCATCAAATGTTTGTAGAATGCAAAGCAAATATTTCAGAGGTGAAGATTGTTAAATTACAAATTCCTGGTACAAGTGTCAAACAGGATATTATAGTGCCATAACGGATCTATTAATGATAAACACTCGTGCATCAATCCTGAAGCCAAATTTTTAATAGTGAGAGCAAGAAGAAAGAGAAAAGAAAGCACAAAATGAAATGATGATAAGTAAACAATTACAACTGAGTCATATTTCTATGATTTCTTGAAGTTTTCATGTAAAGTAAGTAGCTGATGAGAATGTAAGGAAAGTGAGGATATCAAGCTAGATGTAGAGGTGGGTTTTCCGTCGTTTTTCATTGAATCTATTCGAAAATTTCAGCAAAATGAGATATTTTTCTTCCCAAAAATTTTAAAATTTCTCCCTCATCAGTTTTTCAAAAAACCACCCAAGTGTCCGAGGCTTATTTACCTTTATCCCACATTCACATTTGAGAGCAATATTTTAACTACCAACACACGAGAAAATGAAAGATAAAATTACCATGCAGTGTTGCCAAACAAAAGCAAAAATACATCCAAAAAAAAATCTCAAAGACTTACCCTTTAGCGTAAACATCAAATTTAATACCGTGTCTCTTGAACGCCCTCTGGCATTGCCTGGAATTTCTTTGTATAGGAATTACAAACGTTTGATTATAATCAGGATTGTTGGTGTCTCTAACTGTAGAAGTTTTGTCTGCATAAGGAGTTTCCTAAAAAAAAAAAGAAACCATATAAGTGATCGTTGACAATGAATTTATCTAGATTTTTCAAACCTGTGGAAAAGGAAATTCAAATTTAACATAAGTATCTATATCCTTGGGGTTGTCGGATCGATAATTGATGCCTCTGACTATCAGCAATTCCAAGTCGTTGTCGGTCAATTCAGTGAAGCTTTTTACTATAGCAAATTCTTTAATTTCGTAATGGAATTTGGGGATTTTGCCTCCTCCTGTTCTTTTTGCTACCCTTACCACGTCCAAATCTTTAGTTACATTTAGTGCCAACCTCTCAAACCTGAAAAAAAAAAACATTTTCAGTGATTCTTATCCTTCTGGAAGACTACAATGTCTGAAAAATTATGGGTCCAGAAATAAAGTAAGCAATTTAGAATAAATTTTTGGATTTTTCCTGACATCTTTTTTTCGGCAAGAAAGCCCTACTCAATAAATTCTGAAAGTCTGAAGTCCCTCTGAGTACTTGAAGTATTTTTCAGAAGCTTCCGGTGATTCAATAGAAATTTTGTATTATTTTTTTGCATGTATGTGAGAAAAAAATCATCATTCCATTTTTGAGCTTGAGATCCATTCGCAGTTTGTTTTGTTCAATAAAAAGAACCTACTCAATAAATCCTGAAAATTAAAAGTCCCTCTGATTGCTAGAAGTATTTTTCAGAAGTTTCCAAAGGTGATTTAATAGAAATTTTATATGATTTTTCTGCATCTATCTGAGAAAAAAATCATAATTCCATTTTTGAGCCTGAAATTCATTATTGGTTTGTTTTGTTTGATAAAAAGACCCTACTCAATAAATCCTGAAAGTTTGAAGTCCCTCTGATTGCTTTCAAAGGTGATGTACCTAATACAACTTTTACAAGATTTTTGCTTGACATTATAATAATAACAATAATTCCTTCTTACCTATTTGTCCCTGCAACATCACCCAAAGCCTTATTATGATCCCTAGTAGTCAAACACATCTTCAACTGCTTAGTCAACTGAACCTCCAACCTACTCAAAACATCAATAGCCCCATCATCATTTTCTGTACATTCATCAGCCATTACAATATCATATTCATTGTCCAACTGTGACTTGGCATCGGGGGACACAGGAATAGTGCCCCAATCCACAGGCAAACCTGCTTGAGCGGCCTCAATCAACTTGTCAAAGCCTTTGGCTTGTTTCAAAAACTCTTTGGCCTCGTTTAGTTCTCCTTTTTTTTTGGCATTGAGGGCCGCCAGTTTGAATTGTTTTTGTTTGGCTTGCAAGATGAGAACTTGTTTTTCTTGATGTGTTGTTGAAAGTTTGTTGCCTGAGATTCTTGAAGGTATTGGTTTGTCAATAGGAGTGGGTTTTGGTTGTGGTGGTGGTGGTGGTGAAGCGGTTCCTGGTATTGGTCCAAATCCTGGAGGAGTGGGAAGTTCATTGAAATCGACTTGTTTTCCAGCTTTATGGGCTTTTATAGCTTGTTCGTATTGTTTGACAATTCGCCCAAACCTTCTAGCTTTACTATTATCGTCTTCCTCCTTTGCTTTTTTCTCATAGTTTTTGTAAAATTCGATTCTTTGCTGTAAAGCTTCTTCTACAGTTGTGGCTGTAATCAGTTGAGGTTCCAAGTCAGCAACAGGTGCTGGTATGTCTGGGCTGGCCTGTTTTTGTTTTTCAGCTTCTTGTAGCTTTTCCAAAACATTCTGACCAGGCGGTCCAGGCATGTCAGATAAATCAACAGCTTGGCCAGCTTTTACTGCCTCAATTACATGATCGAATACTTTGGCTATTTTTAAATATCCTAAGGCAGTTTCAGTGTCATTGGACTTTTTAGCTTGAAGAGCTGCTAGTTTGTATTCTTTTTGTCTTCCTATAAAAATATTTATGATTAAAAATAACTACTGAAACATTGTAATACTAAATTCTTGCCTAATAACATATTTAATAGTTCCTCATCAATTTCCTGTTTGGCTTTGGCTACATTTTCTTGAACAACATCAGGTAAAGGTGTTTGAGGAGCTGGCCTAGAAGGTACTAGAGCTTCTACAGGGCTGTCATTTTGAGGCTGTTTTGGTTTTATAGTAATTTCTGGAGGTATTGTGTCATCATTTAGATCAATAACTCTATAAGGAAATTATTAAGCAATGAATTAAAAACACCAATCAATAAACTTACTCTCCCTTTTTTGCCTTTTTAAGTAAATCATTCAAGGTCTTTATAGCCCTGCCAAATCTTTTGGCTTTGCTAGTTTCACCAGCAGAATTTGCATCAGCTTCAGCTGTCTGATAGTTTCTAATACGATTTGTTAAAATATTTTCAACATCCCCTGAAGCAGCTTTTGAAGGAGACTCATCAGTGGATGGCAAATCTTCTTCATCATCCCCAGTGATTTCTTGTAGCTCGCTCAACAAATCAGGATCGTTTTCATCAACATCTTCATCTTCTTCGTTATCATTGATACTTATATCTACAATAGCGTCTAGTTGGTGTTGGGTCAAAGGGTTTTTTAGGCCCTTTCGTTGTTTGGGCTTAGAGGCGCTTCCTCCGGTTAGAGCAGCTAATTCTGCCTCTAAATCGCTGTCACCTCCGTCAGAATCTTCTGCTGGGCCCATTGGGTTGAAGTTGTTGGGGATGTCCATGAAACCAAACTAGAAAGAGTGGACTTTTAGACTAAAAGTTTTAGCTACGTAGATAGATTTTCAACGGGGATTAGTTCAATAAAAACAAAATAAGTAAAGCTGAAAAATGCATGTAGGGATGTTAAAGAATTATATTATATTATTATATTTGATGAATCATAATTTTAAATTCAAATTTTACCTGCGATAGGTTTCCAGAGTGTTCCCTTTTGGGTCTCTCAGGTTTCTTCCGTCCAAACATTGCAATTAGAGCTTAACTAAAATAAATAGGATTATACAGAATCAAGAGCAGGAAATTACAATAAATAATGGGTTTTTTTCAAATAAAAACAAAGAGTAATTTTTATTTTTAGCAAAATTGCAAATATGCCGAAACGTCAATGTCAAATTCAAATTTCAAATTTGGCAAAGTACAGTGCACGAGAACGGAACCTGAGTACTCTGAACGGTCCGGAAAACTCGGAGCGCTATTTTTTTTTACCTTGACTGCGCGACGTACACAACTGGGGGGTTGCAGGTGAGCGTCCAATGAGAAGCGATTCCTACAGCGATTTCCATTTGTCGAACCAGTGCAAAAAAAATGTATCCTTATCCTTACATGTTACATGCTTTTAGACAAAGATGCGAATACACTCAGTGCGCACTGACTGACAAGTGGAAATCGCCATTGTTTTTTGATTATCGCCGCCATATTGGTGTATCACCATTTCCGACGTCATAACTAAGTTGCCAGCTGTTTAAACAGCCTAAATCGAAGCGAAAAATAACATGCTGCCGACGTCACAACTGGTGATTTGGAGATAGGGCCAGGGGGTTCAAGTGAGGGATTTGTTAACAGACCTTATGATGATAGGCCATCCTCTAGTAGTAGTGTATATCATCCTTGAGTTTGTTACAGGCTTGCGTAATAAATTCTGATTCACGGGCTCGCTCTTGTTTGACATTAACGTGCGTTCAGTATTTTGATCCGAGTTCTCCGTGCTTGAATTTACCGTTTTTTTTTTTTTGAAAAGTGTACTCGGTGCAGACTCATTCGCGTTCGTTTATTAAAATTTCTGGCACTTTGATTTTGATACAGCGTTCGATTGCTCTGTTCGCTAGCTGGTCACGTGATTACAGCTCCATTCAGCACGCTCTGCTCTTTGAGCAAAATAGCGAACGCAAGGTAAATCTAAAGGGCCCCATACACTACGGTGAAACACGACGGTTTTCACCGCCGCGAGGAAACCGTCGTGTTTTTCTACCACACACTTCGGTTTTGGCACGACGTGTTTCCTCGCGGCGGTGAAAACTGTCGTGTTTCACCGTAGTGTATGGGGCCCTTAATAAAAATTGGACTTCTGATAATCGAGAACCGATCCAAATTATTGACTCTGGTTCTGCTTCAAGAAAACGCTACGTAACAGCTGGCTTTCACAATATCATCATAACCTCAAAAACCACAAAGTCAACAAACAAAACAGTGAAAAATAATTATTTAGATTCTTAAATGTGATTACTTTCGTTTGCAAATATTGAATTTTTAGAATACCAATAGTTTATAAACAAGTTACTTATTGTATATGTTCCCTCACAGAAATAAATTTCCATAATGAGCCAACAGGAACCTTTTCTACAACAAAGAATCCTTGCAAACCTTTGCAGAACTTGCATGACCGAGATCGAATATCCAAATTCGACTTCCCTATTTTCAGTATTAAGTAAATCTAACAATGAAGAAGCCCTTGATTCTATTTTATACAAATGTACTTCTATACAGGTAATTTTAAAACTTTATAATACTTAATTCAAAGATGATGCAAGTCACAAGTTGAAAAGAGACTGTATTATTTATTATTTATTGATTTAAATATGTATATAAATTATACAGGGTGTAGGGTGTTTAATAAATAAGTATGCCAACAACATTGAATTTGTCCAGATACAGGGTCAAGTTTTGAAATTGAGATGGTTTTTTTAGGCAATTTTAATGAAATTTTCAGTTTTTTGATAACCGTATAAGTCGAGGTATAAGTATATACGTATCTTCTAGATCCATTTCAGTACGTAATTAATAGAATGTAGATGTTGAATTTATCTTTCCACTAGAAAGTTCATCTGAAGATGAATAAACCGGGCTCTTGGATTTCTAATTTTGTCTAAATTTTATTTATTCACCTGATAAACTGTCAGGTAATGCAATTTGCATCTAATCCTATTGGATAATGGATAGCCAACCAATAGGATTGTAAATTGGTAAATTTATCTTATGAATAGAATAGTTATTAGTAAGTTTATCTGAAGACTTGTCTGAAGATGAATAAACCAGGACTATTAGTGAAAATTTTTGACTTTTCTCTCGACTATTCTATGCTCTTGGATTTCTGATTTTTTCTAAATTTACATATTTTTAAAAAAGAATAAGGAGCAAAAACCTGGTATACCTATAAAAGAAAAATAATCAATTTTCTCTTCTTTATTTTCTCTTCTCATATTTATTTAGTGTCAATTTTCAACTATTCCAGGCTCTTGAATTTCTGTTTCCTTTCAACTTTGTTTCCTTAAATGAATAAAGGAACATTCAAGAGCCTGGAATAGAAAGGAAAAATCAAGGGAAAATTATTAATTTTCCCTAAATCTCTAGTCTCTATTTCTCTTTTCTTTAGTGTCTTCAATTTTTGATTATTCCAGGCTCTTGAATTTCTGTTTCCTTCCAAATTTCTTTTTATATAAGAACAAAGGAATATTCAAGAACCTGGAATAAAAAGGAAAAATCAACTTTTCTCAGTATTTTTCTTTTCTTTAGTGTCAATTTCTGATTATGCCACGCTCTTGTATTTCTGTTTCCTTCCGAATTCGTTCTTATAAAAGAATAAAGGAGCATTCAAGAGCCTGGAACAGAAAGGAAAATTGATCAATTTTCCTCAGAAACAAGTGGATTAGTACAGTATCCTATCTACTTGAAAAACCTTTTCTTTTTGTAAGAAAATAAGGAAGAGTCAAGGGCCTGGAATTAAAAAAAAAATAACAATTTTGTTTCTCAATATTCTTGTCTGTTTTTGTCTTTCCTTCACTGTCAATTTTTGTTAATTACAAGCTCCTAAATCTAATTTTTAGATGAGAATAAGGAACATTCAAGAGCCTGGAATAGAAAAGGAAATTATCGAGGAAATTATCATTTTTTCATAAACTTTTTACTATTCTCGAATTTGTGTTTCCTTCCAAATTTCTTTTCATGAAAGAATAGGGAACATTCTCAACAGCCTGGAATAGAAGAAAAATATGATTCTTAACTTTCTCTTCTATATTTCCCAATTTTTGACTTTTCCAGGCTTTCTTCATTATTGTCTATACCTAATATAGTGTTCATCTGACTGGAACCAACTTGAATAAGTTTCATCTAGGTTCCCCATAAAGTACACTAATCTAGTTTTTGACTAGCTACTGAGAAAAATGCTGCTAGTTTAAATTAGTAATAAGCATAAAACTGATGTTTCAAATTACCATTTTCAGGTTTGCTATTCAGACATCTTACCACTAAGCATTTGCCGTAGCTGCTTAGAAAAACTAGTAACATGTTATTTATACAGAGAACTATGTTTTGATACACAAATCAGATTATCTCAATTATACGATTCGCTCAAGGAACCATCAAACTACATTGAACCTGTATTAGAAAATTCCATAGAATCAGCAAAATCAATCGAATATCCCATAAACGATGCCACCAAGATAGAAGAATCCTGTGATTTAGAAAACTTAGGCTGTGATCAAACTTCATTTGAAGAACCCGAGGAAATGCTGAAAAATAATTATGCATGTGAAACTTGTTCAAAAAAATTTAATTCCAAACATTCACTCGATAGACATTCAAAGATTCACACTCAAGCGGAATCTTTAAAATGTCCTCATTGTCAAAAAGCATTTACAAGGCAAGCTATGAATAAGTCCCAAATTTCAATTAATAATAAGTAGTTTTATAGAAAAACAGACGTAAAACGTCACTTGAGCACTCACACAGGAAATAAACCATACATTTGTTCAATTTGTCCATGCAGTTTTACCCAATCCGGAACTCGTACCAATCACATGAGGATAAAACATGGCATTGTGGACAAAAAAAAGTCTTTACAGGAAAAATCGTTTCTTTGTTCTATGTGCGGTAAATGTTTCCGACACAAATCCACTTTAACTGTACATTTGAGACGACATGTCGGCGAAAAACCTTACGAATGTCAAATTTGTAAACTTAGGTAAGGTAATTCCTTTGAAAATGAAGTATCTATTTAACATAATTTTTATAGATTTGTTTCAAGTGGCAGATTGACCTCACACTCAAGAATCCATACAGGAGAGCGGCCTTATGTGTGTCACATTTGCAATAAAAATTTCGCCCATGCAACAGTGTTATCTACACATCTTAAAGGCCACACAGGTCAGAGAGAATTCAAATGCAGTTATTGTAGCAAGAGGTTTTCCAAGCCTTATTATCTTAACATCCATATAAGGTTTGATTTTTGTTTTAGATATGCTTGAGTTAATAAGTAAATTTTAGGCAACATACTGGAGAGAAGCCTTTGAAATGTTCGATTTGCAAAAAATCTTTTGCTTGTCCGAAAAATTTGAAAGCTCACGAAAAAATACATTCCAATGAGAAACCTTATTTGTGCATGCAATGTGGCAAATCGTTCAGAAGAGCTTACCATCTGAAAGTTCACATGAAATTACATAAATAATGCACCTTGTAAATATTTCAATAATTAAAGCATTTTAATTTTAAAAACTAACAGCTTTACAAGCAATAGAGCAATTTCTACAAAATTTATTATGCTCATGCCTAATAGAAGAGACACTATTCCACCAAAAGTACCTAAAAAAAATTTTATTTAGGTGCTAATAATAATAATTGTAATTTCAAGTTTACATACTTAGAGATTCGTACCAAGTTACCGTTAAAAACTTCTTATAGTGGTTTGTAAACGCTTTGTTTGAAAAGACATGAATCCTGGAACTATTCCTATAAAAGTAAAAATGTAAAGTTTGTGAGTCATTATTGAATAGTGAATTTCTTACGGATAATTATTATCAAAATCCTCAGAATAAAATTCAATATAATTAGTATCAATAGAATACAAAACGTCATTGCAATTGGGCAAACATCCACTGCAAGAAAGCGAATCTTCAAAGTCCAAATTCAATCCACCTTTTTCCACTGTCTCGAACGGATAATATCTGAGCCATTTGCCTTTATATCTACTCAAACAAGGAATATCAACTAAATTGCACATATCCATATCACTTTTGTTTGAGAGAGGCATCATAAAAGGCACACAATTGCATAACAATCGGATACTTTTCAATTTGCAGCTGACAAAACAGTTACTTGAAGTGTAATGGCCAAATTCGGTTTCTTCTTCATAAGAGAATTTGCATTTTCGCTATAAAATAAATAAATTGAATGTGCAAGAATTTTTCTTGCAAGAATTCAATTACTTGTTCTTTAGGTAGCGCCCTCACTTGAGGAAACGTTTTTAAAGTGTTAGCTTCAACGTTTATAAAAACTTCGGATTTTTCCTGCACTATTATTTGACGCAAGGAGCCGCTGGACAGATCAGGAAAATCGCCCGGTAAGAATATTTTAAGCAGGCAACCCCTGGTGGCCATCGAAGTGTAAAAGTAGTCGGAGAAATTGTTATTTATCGTAACTGATAAACCATTACCAATTGCTGTACCAAGGAATTTTTTGGTTTGGTTTGGGATGTCAGTGTTAAATTCTTTAAGACTAAAAAATAATTTTTGGTTTATTTTATTTATGTACTTACGAGGTTTTATTTAGGGTAAGTCAAAGGCCGAGAAATTCAAGTATTTACAGAAAAAAATCATGAGCTTGATAGAGCAATGCTCGTTTTCCTCTAGAATGTGTGCTGGGGACAGAAACCTGGCCACATCCAGTGGCGAGAGTAAGCCACCCACGTTAACGTCGTGGAGTATGGACATACACAGGGGAGATCGTCAGGATTACTTGTGATGGCCTGGCTCAAAGAAAAAACACAGACCCTCCCAATCGGCATAAGCCTAAAGGTAGTGATGTTGGATACCATGGGAGGAGAAATCCTATTTTGAAGAGAGAGATTGTGCTACGTCGCCTAGCAGGCCAGAACCCACACCTCTCCGCAAAAGATTCACTCTTCCACTACGAGAAGAGGGAAAAGCCGGCAAAAGGCCATGTCCTGGTATTTGGTTGGTGTTGGGGAAGAGGACGTGAAGACCCTAAAGCAGGTAATCCAGGCTGAGCTACGGGTTCACCTCGCTGATCATAAAACTAAAACCAGAAGGTACTAAGGAGGAGGAGGAGCCATCAGTGGTCGCGGGCACCGGGTCGGATGACGCGGACCCTCGAAGCGTGGCAAAAGCGAAGCAGCTGTCGGGCCGCGTGAAGAGGACTGCGTCACCTTACCTGGGAGTGCTAGTGGCACGGCACGGCACGAAGGCCATCCGCAGGAATTCGTATCTGATGAAGTTTCTATGTCGGATCACCGATGGATAACTTTCACATTAAACTGCTCGCCTAAAACCACAAGACCTTATTGTGACCCAAGCAAAACCAATATTGCACACTACGTGCAAGGTCTGGAAAGGGCTTTACAAGAGGTTGCAGTTAAAACACCCAATGCTGACCAAGAATTGGACCGGTATGCCAATACCATCCAAGGTGCCATCATAAAATCCTATGTTGAGCCCACTGAGGATGTTCCAAAACTCTGGTAATACCTCTGCTTGGTGGCGTCAGGAACTGGAATACCTCAGCGCGACGACAAGAAAAGCTAAAACAAGGACGTACGACAAAAACAAAGAGATGCCTGGAGGACATACTGCAACGGAATAGAAAACTATACGGAAGCGACGAGACTTCAGAAAGCTCTTAATGAAGACCAATTTCGGGAAATTAGTATCCTGTATGCCAACATTCAAGAAAGTACAGAGTTACATCTGAAAGTTTCTTGGGTTTAGGGATAGGAAAGAAAACCAATTAGTCTTTCGGCAACGTTTCGAGTTTGATTAGGACTTCATCAAGCCTTAGACTTGAAGGTTTATCCTTTGTAAAAGGCGCTTTTTGTTCGGAAGCGAAGTAGTTCGGTAATCGGTTTCTTATCCTACGGTTATTTCGGGCGCCACCCTCAGGATTAAAGTGGTTGAGGGCCCACGTGCACCAGGTAGTTTGTTACAGTGGAGAAACGGTAACCCAGGGGTCACATCAGACATTGTTGCTCAACCTAACTACGTCTCAAAATAAAACCCTGAAAATTTCCTGTAAAGCTCCGTGTTAAAATCGATTGGTGCGTGCGTATCGCGTACCTATATGAGAAGTGAGGTAAGCGGATATAAAAGATAAACAATAATGTTACTAGCAGAATACCAAAAATGTCGCAGTGACGATTAAAATAATGAGGCAGGCAAAAAGCTCCGGCGGTATTGTTAAGCGAAGTGCGGAAGCCGCCAAAATAACAGTCCCTGTAACACATAATGAACACGCAATGTACTTTATACGAGCTCCTAATCGGAAAATCACTCGAACATCAACCAAGGGTGAAAAAAGCGTAGAAAAGAATGCATTCGGACATCAACCAAGAATGCATGAAAGACGGACCCCCCGGACATCAACCAAGAATGGAAGAAAACGGTCACCTGGATATCAACCAAGGATGAAGAAAAAGGAGCAAGTATAAAACTATCTCTTACCCCATTCTTACCTAACCTAAAACGCGGCACTCTGGGGACAGTTACTGGGCGATCCCACTGGCCTACCTCGGTGTTGACTTCGACTGGTCGGTCTGGAGATCTGGTCTTGAACCTAGCTGGCTGCTGGCGGCGGGCTCGATGAGGGAGCGGCGTCACATGTTCAGGCGGTGGGGAACCCAGCATGACCAAAAGACTACAGTGCTTCTCAAGCAAGCGATGCGTCTGCCGGCGCGGCGGCAGAGAATCGTCCACTCAAAGCAAGGTCACGCGCAAAATTAATAATTTGAGGATTGAAAATGATATTATTGAACTATGCACTTAAACTCGCGGTACCTTTTAAAACAAAATAAAAAATTACGTAACTTTGTTACACCTTGATCAAGTATCAAGTCTAAGGCTTGATAAAGTCTTAACTGAAGACGAAACGTTGCGGAAGACTAATAGGTTTTTTCTCCTATCCCTAAACCCAAGAGACTTTCAGATGGAATTCACAGGGAACGAATCACAATCAAGTACAGAGTTACTACTAGCAACCCACTTTCTTGACTCCACAACCACAATACGAATGTTCACAAAATAAAAAAATCCCGTTTAACAATCATCAAATTATTGAGCATCGTTTCATAAGTAAATCTACAAAATTTTTCGAAAATCAGAAAATTCTTTCTATGAGAAAAACGGAGACGAAATATTAATATTCGTTTAAACACGTGAGACGCTCCCTGACGTCACAATGCGTAACGAGTTAGCGCGCGCAAGTACAGTGGCGCTACTTTCTACTTGGATCAGCCCTGTGACGTTGCTTTTGCGATTTCGTGTCGATCTCTGTGTTAGGATCTATCGAAATTAAGGTAGAAAAGGTACTACGGCTAAAGTGGAAGAAGGTTTTCAAAAGGCCGATTCACATAATCTGCCAACTGTGGACGTTACTATGGTATCAGAATTTTTGGTCAAGTGTCAAGACTTGAATCGAATCTGCCCCAGTCCAGTGGTGTAAACGTAAAACAGACGTACCTATTAGACGTAGGTATAGTTGAATTTGAACAGTGATATAATATAGTTATTTACCTATAACAAGTGCGGAAAGTTGTACTCTTCGTGCAAGCCGCAAGTGTGGAAAACATACTTTACGCTCGTGTTAGGCACATTTTTTTCTACGAGCGTGTGGAAACCGCGTTTTCACGCACCGATTTCCGTGCAGAAAGTACCACATTTCCGCATCTCTTAGGAAAAAACGCACGTAGGTACCACTTTTTTTGACTCAGTTTAAGTTTGTTTGAGTCTCCCATCATTATACAAACACAGATAATTAGAGTGAATCAAGCTTCTTGGGATAAAGCAACACAAGAAATTCAGTGTAAACTTGTAAACAAATCTCGCCAACGCGTCAGCTGATTATTTGTTCCGCACAGTGGCGTCACAAGCGCTACTCTCGCCGCAGGGGGCCGTTTATTTGCTAGCCTCGCTAATTTCGTTTTTTTGTTTTCGATTTATCAGAAAAAATTAAGGGTTTCTAGATGTTTTAACGCTCAATACGTGTTTTGTGGACCTAGAACCACCACTTTTTATTGCAATTGAAAAATAGTGAACATTCCTATTGTGGAGGATCAGACGCAGGTAACATACATACCCTCTATGGCTGATTGGCAACTAGCGAATTAGATAATATACGAGGAAAAAATAGGTTGAGCAATTTCTCCGCCTTCAAAGCACCAGGACGTGACGGCATCTATCCAGCCCTACGTCAGTGAAGTCTGATGCCACTCTTGCCGCACCTGGTAGGGATGTTCAGGGTGTCCTTGGCGCTGAGATACATACCCAAGGCTTGGAGAAAAGTTAAAGTGGTGTTCCTACCCAAATGTGGGAGGATAAACTACACCACCCCCAAGGCATATCGCCCCATAAGCCTCCCCTCATTTTCTCTAAAAACAAAGGAGAGGCTATGCGAGAGGTACATAAGGGATGAAGTGTTGTCAACCAATCCACTCCACCCTAAACTACATGCATATGCCCCCGGGATACTAGATACCAGACACAGCCTTCCACCTGGTTGCTGGGCGAGTGGAAGAATCGCTGGACAAAAGGGGTAATTAAGTAACATCTACACTGATGGTTCCAAAACTCAAACAGGCTTGGGATGCGGAGTATACTCCAAAGCTCTCAAACTGAATCAAGAAGACGAGACGATAGAGCACATTCTCTGTGACTGCACTGCTCTTTCGCCAATACGCAGAGCCAGACTAGGCCAACCGTATCTATCGCTAGAAGAGATCAGAGGCACCGCCCTCGGCGACGTCATGGCCTACGTGGAATTGCTAGGCTGAATGACGAGCTAAGGATGACCTCTCCTCTTGTGGAGGCGCACAATTAGCCTAATGTGGCATACCATACATACCATCCTCCCAAACTTACAGATACAGTGTGTTGGGTAAAATTTCTATATATTCTTGTGTTTTAAGATACACAAATTTTTGGCCATTTCTTAGAAAACCAGATTGACTCACAGAGATACCTCCGGCGAATACCTGACGTAATTGAACAAACAACAAAATCCGCTATCGGTAAGTCTCGTTCTAAACAAATCGGTACACTTGAATTCTTCAGAATTCCAGCTGCAATTTATGAGTAAATCTTTACAAGGCGTCATTAAGCTGGACAAAAGCAAAATCAGACTCGTGTTTCCATAAGAATTCAAAATTTCTTGAAATTTGGAAAATTCGTTTGCCCGGTACATGTTGAAATCGTAAAGATTGCCAAGTAGTTTTACTAGCTCTAAGGTTTCATTGAAGTCTTTATTTACTGTGTAGTTATTTCTTGAAAAAAAAAACACATATTTACCAAAACATTACAACATAATATTAAGATTCTTACAAGTCATGGGCTAGTTCTGTAGCTCGGCGTTTACTGATCCTGTTTAAATCGCAAATAGCGACTC